TGTGTCCACACCTATGGAGGAAATCCAGAGTCATCTGGCAGAGAAGGTCCCAGAGTTTCCTAGGGGTGTGTCCCACCTCTGCTCGTTTGTGGTTCTGTTTTGTGGCCCTGTTTGGGGCCCAGCGAGTCTGAGTTGAGTTTCTTGCAGTCAAGAATTCCCAGCACCAATAACCTCGAGGGACTTCCCACAATGACTGGCTGTGCCCTACCTCCTGGCTACAGCCATGTGGGCAGAAAGACAAAAATTAAGACCCAAAGAATTCAGAGGTACGCCACCAAAAGCACAAACAAAAAAAGACAAAATAGATAAACTGGACTTCAAAATGGAAAACTGCTGTCCTTCAAACAACACCATCAGAAAGTGAAAAGACAAGCCACAGAACAGGGGAAAAATATTTGCAAATCATGTATCTAATAAGGAACTTGTATCCATAATATATAAAGAACTTTTACTTCTCCACAGTAAAAAGGGCAAAGAGGGGCTGGCCCCGTGGCCGAGTGGTTAAATTGGCACCCTCTGCTCCGGCCGCCTAGGGTTTTGCCAGTTCAGATCCTGGGTGCAGACCTGGCACCGCTCATCAGGCCATGCTGAGGCGGCGTCCCACACAGCACAACCAGAAGGACCAACAACTAGAATATATAGCTATGTACTGGGGGGCTTTGGGGAGAAGAAGAGAAAAAAAGGGCAAAGATTTGAAAAGACATTTCTCCAAGGAAGATATGCAAATGGCCAATAAGCACATGAAAAGATGCTGACAGCTTTACCATAAGGGAAACGCAAACCCAAACCACAACACGACACATACACTGCGTCACACTCACCAGGATGGCTAGAATCAAAAAGTCATAGTAACAAGTATTGGCGAGGGTGTGGAGAAATCAGGGCCTTCCTCCCGGCTGGCGAGACTGTGAATCATGCAGCCTCTGTGGAAAGCACTGGACCCGAGGGAGGTAGCTCCTCATGAGGTTAAACAGAGTGACCACGTGACCCAGCAATTCCACCCCAGGCATGTACCCAGGAGAACTGGAAACATGTCCACGTGAGGCTTGTGCACGAGTGTCCGTAGCAGCTCGTTCACAATAGCCAAAAGGTGGAGGAAACAACCCAGATGTCTACCAGCAGATGACGGATACACAAAACAGCGTCTACCCACACAATGGAACGTTATTCAGGCATGGAAAGCAATGAAGGTCTGACACACGCTACAACACGCATGAACCTCAGACATACTCCACTGAGTGAAAGAAGCCAGACACAAAAGGGCACACGTCACACAATTCTGTTCACATGAAACATCCACAACAGGCAACCCATGGAGACAGCAGGCAGAGAGTGGCCCCTGGGGGCTGGGGGTTGAGGGGAAGATTGGCGGGAGCTGAAGGATAATGAATTTCTTTCTGGGGTGATGGAAGTGTTCTAAAACGGACTGCTGATGGTTGCACATCTCTGTGAATATACTAAAAACCATTGAATTGTGCCCTTTAAGTGGGTGAGCTGTAGGCTGTGTGAATTACGTGTCAATACAGCTGTTAAAGAATAAACTTAAGCACCACCAGAGGCACTCACAGCTGGAATATCCAACTATGTGCTGGGGGGCTTTGGGGAGAAAAAGCAGAAAAAGAAAATTGGTAACCATTGTTAGCTCAGGTGATAATCTTTAAAAAAAAAAAAAAAAGAAGAAGAAACTTAAAAGCTTTGCCAGGTCGTCCAGGCCAAAGTCGAACAGGCAAGAAGTTTCTGCTTTACAGTCCTGCTGCTGAGCTCTGAGTAACAACGTAGGTGTGATGACAGACGCCAACCAGAGCAGGGCCCAGGCTCAGGAGTGGCCCAGGGCAGGCCAACCTGGGGGTATGGAAGGGCGCTGGATTGGTTCCGGGGCACCCGCACCCAACCTGCCTTCGCAGACACCTGCCTGCCCTCTCCAGCCTCGTGACTTCTGCCTTCAGCAAAGAGCAGAGCCTCAGCCAGAAGGAAGGAGACTTGACACTCCCGACAGCACACCTGGCCCTGCGTCCAGCCAGCCGCCCCGGTGGAGTGTGGGGCTGCCGGCTTCCCAACGTCCGTGCCAGTGAGCATGCAGGCGTCATCGCACAGCTCAGCTCATACAGGTCGCAAGCCTGCCCTTGAGCTGGGGCATGGAGCTGGGGGTCAACACAACGCACTGGAAGTCTTTAATTGCGAAGCTGTGACTTTGCATAATGCACAGTAGGATTATCATTACTGTTGTCACAGGCACATCAACAGGACACAGGACACCACAGAAGAGGACAGATGGCTACCTTCTAAATTGGAGGTTGAAGGCTGTGTGGGGTGAGGTTAGTGGACGGCAGAGAGGACGGCTGGCAGAGCCTGGGAGGGTCGCCAAGGGAGAGGGGCCTCGACCCAGGCCCTGGACCTGCCTGCCACGTGGAAGGCGCTGTCACCAGGGTCGGAGCCTGGGCCGCTGCAGGCTCAGTGAGGCCCCTGCCTCCCGGTGCTAGGTGCTAGGACGTCTGCTTGCCCAGAGTGGCCTGCTTGGCAGCTGGACCTTCAGCTGGGGACCCTCAGGGATTGTGGGAGAGCTCACAGGCGAGGCTGCCCACTGCACAGTTCACGCGCCTTGTGCTCACACCCATGTGTACGGTTCCAGGCTGACAGTCGGTGCAGGGGTCTGCCTGGACCAGGAGCAGGACTCCAGCTCAATCTCTGACCAGCTGTGCACCTGCGGGAATGGCGTGGCGCTTGGGGCTGCTGTAAAGTAGGGTGACAGCAGCAGCTGTGACTAAGTGCCCTGAGAATTGGATGGATGACACTTGTGGATTGTCCCCCAGCCTTGACTGGAGGTCAGGGTGAAAGGTAGGGAGGGTCAAGGCAGCTGGGGGCTGCAGCGGTGAGCTGGGGATGCCAAGCTCCATCGAGGGGGTAGGCCAGGCCTGGGCATACGAGTGACCTCAGCCACGGCAGCCCACCTCCAGAGCTCCGAGCCAGCACTGGGCCATGGTGGGGTCATCCATGGAGACTGGAGATGTGGGAGTGACCACGTGGTCACGGACACCTGCTGAGGTGAAACCACAGTGGGTAATACAGATGCTCGCTGGGCATGAGGTTCAGGTGAAGTGAGGGGAGAAGTCGGGCGAGAGTGGCAAGCTGGGGTCTAGGGAGGTGGAGAAGAGGGCAAGGACGGTGGCCCTGCAGGGCTAGGGCTTGCACTGAGGGAGGGGTCTCCAGGGCAGCTGCCTGGGCTTGGGGAAGGAGGCCGAGCTGAGGGAAGGTGCCCGTTGGCCCTGCCCCTCACCTGCAGGCGGCCCAGTGCAGGTGGCCAGGCCCAAGCTCCCGGGGGTGGCTGATCCCTGGCCCCCCTGCTCAGGACGCCAGCAAAGGCCCTGCTCCAGGCAAAGCCAAGGAGAGAGGGCATGAGGCATGTCCAGCCTGCACCACCGCTGGTCCGTCCTTGACTAATGTGGAGTGGAAAGAGGCTGGAGCTGGACCTTTGAGGAGGAAGCCAGCCTGTCCACACCAGCCAGGCCAGGACTGGGAGTTGGTCCTGCCTGGAGACACCCTCTCCCGCCACTTCTCCCTCAGAAGCTCATTCTCTCGGGGACTACGGACCAGGCTTTGGATGCTACACAGAGTGAAGAGTACAGGACACTGGGCTGGAAATAAAAGGGGCGAGGGGCTTAACACCCAACATCTCCCAACTGGGCAACTTCCAGGGCAGAATCAGGAGCAGGTGTGGCCGGTGGCAGCTGGATCTGGACAGGAGCCGGCCAGTGTGTGCCTGGTGGCGCCTGGCAAGTGAGGGAGCAGCGAAGTGGTGGCCACGAGGATGCCTGCACGCTGTGCCCGTCAGGGCCTAGGGCCAGTGGGTCTAAACTCCAGGCGATGCCTCTGTCCTCTGCACCTGCCTGCCGCCAGCTTACTGCAGGACTCGCCGCCACCAGCAGCCACCGGGGGTGCAGGCCGGGTATGTAAAGTCCTCGGCGGTGCCCCAGGGTCCTCTCCTGCAAAGGGAGGGGCTCTCGGCCTCCCCTAGAATTGGGGATCCCTGCACCGGGGATGGCTTAGGGGGAGGTCAGGGCTGTCTGCAGAAAGGGTGAGCACAGAACCGCAGGGTCCATTGCGGCCCCTGACCACCTCACAGGCGGCTTGTCCCGAGTCCTCGCCGCTGACGGACGCCGTCCCCCCACGACCCGGATTTGCTCTCGTCCCGCCCCGCCGCAGGGCCAGGCCCTGGGCGGGCTCCCCGGAGGCGGCGCGCCCGCGGGAGGTGGGCGGGGGTCTGGGGGCTGCGCTACGGGCGGCGGCCGCCGGGGGCGCTGCGGGGGCCGCGGTTAAAGCCCGGGCGCGGGCGCGCGCGCTCAGAGGGAGCCCAGCCGCTGCTGTCGCCGCAGTCGCCGAGCCCTCCGGGCCCTGCGGTCCTGGCCCCCCGACCCCGGCTCCCCGCCCTCCCGCCGCTCCGGCCGGTGCATGCGGCCCCCGCGGATGCCCGGCCGCGGCCCCCAGACCCGCACCTGAGCGCGGCGCGGGGCGCGGGCAGACGGGCGCGCGGGGGCCCCGGGGCGGCGACATGGGGAAGTTCCAGTCCAAGCACGGTGAGCTGCGGCCGGGCGGGCGGGCGGCGGGCGGGCGGTGGGCGCGGCCACTCACTGTCCCTTCCTCTCCCCGCGCCCTCGGGCCGCAGCCGCTGCAGCCTCCAAGCGGAGAGAGAGCCCCGAAGGTGAGCGGGCGGGCGGCGGGGCGCGGGGCTGCCCAGCCGGGACGCGAGCCCAGAGCCCCGCGCGCATCCTGCTCCGGAGCCCTCGGGGGACACTGCGCTGGGTCTCCGGGCGCGCGCAGGCTCCCCCCAACCCCGCCCCGCCCGGCTGCCTTGCGCCCCGGCCGCGCCGAGATGGGGTGGGCGCGCCAGGCGGCGGGACTCGGCCAGGGCGCAGCGCCCGCGGGCCTCACGCGCGTCTCCTTCCCTCCTCGGTGCCCGTTTCCCGCGCGTCCGCTCGGCGGGCCGCAGGGGACAGCGTCGTGGTGTCCGCGTTCGCGAGTGGCCGCAAAGGCACGGAGGAGGTGGAGCGGCACGGCGGCGGCGTGGAGCACCGCGCGCGGGACAAGCAGGTAGGCGCGGGGGGTGCGGGGCCAAGGGACGCGGGTGCCACAGTTGTGCCCGCTGGCGCGGACCCGGGACCAAGAAGGCGCAGGCCACAGGCGGAGATGGCCGTGCAGGAGTGACGCCCACTGGGCGGAGAGAGCCTGTCCGGCCCGGGCCTCGATGTCCCAGGCGGGGGTCCTGGGTCAGGCCTCCACATCTGATGCTGGAGGCTGTTGCCTGATTCGCTTTGGCATCGGTCACTCGCACAGCAAAGATGGCCGGAGTACATGCCTCCCATGTGCGGGTGGGTGACCAACGGCCTGAGGGAGGCTCATGGGAAAGGCCGGCTCCAGATGGACAGCTGGCCACCCAGACTGCAGGGGCTGCCCCGGGGGCCTGGGTCCCACTCAGGCAGAGGTCGTCCCTGAGTGTGGATTTGGAAGGTGCTGCTTCCAGAAGCAGAGAGCTGCCGAAGCTCTGGCCCCAGGGGGCTTTGGGTAAACTAGAGCCGCTTGTGTTGGCCAAGCAGGAGAAAGCGGTGGGTGAGTGGTGGTGGTATTGGTGTGAACGCATCCGTGTAGATGGCCACACCAATGCTGAGACCCCCCACTCGTGCACTGCCGCCCGCCCCCCCAGAGTCCCCTGACACGGTGCACCAGCTCACTGGTCCTCAGCTCCCTTTTTGGAAGTTCATTGCTCTGGCCAGTTGATAGTGAAACGTTCTGGGCGTTTCTGTGAACGCTTGTGGGAGTTCGTCCTGAGGAGGGGCCCAGATGTGCCCCGAAATCCAGTACATTCTCGAGTTACAGTTCATGCTTTCTGGGAGTGAAGTCTTAACCCCACAGCTGTAAAGGTGGGAAATGCATCTTCTTGGTTCAGCACAGTCAGGCTGGATGGACGTGTGCTCCTCGGTCCTCGGGACCAGGGCCAGACCGCCCAGGGAGCAGCCAAGGCCCATCTCCCTCCTTTCTGCCGACGCTGTCTGCCCCAGGGAGGTGGGAGTGCGGACAAGGGGCTGGTGCCTCTTTGCAGCTTGGTTCTCCTGTGTGTAAATTTGGGACTGGCTGGAGCCTGGGGTGGGCGTCGGTGTCGTGGTCAAGGGCTTAGGCTGGCCCCTGTTCCGTCTGCTGTCCAGCCTGGGGGCCTTCTGCCTGGGGCATGGGCACGCTGGACCTGGCACTGTCCACCCAGTTCTTGGAGTGCTCGGGCGAGTGCAGGCGTTCGTGCAGGACGTGGCTGTGATGTAGCGGGTTCCGTCACCCCAGCGGGGCTTCCCCGGACCGTGGGGCTGCCCTAGAAGACCGTCTCGGGAAGGACGTGCTCCTGTGTTGCTGTGAGGTTGCAGAGCTGGGAGTGTGACGGCCTTTTAGGCCCATGCATTCCACAGTCTTGGGACATTTTTAAAAGCCTGGTGTAGGGTTTGGCTTGGGTTGTTCCCTCTGTGTTTTGCCCTCTGCGGTAGTCAGACGCGTGTCCCCCAAAATCCATATGTTGAAACCCAACCCAAGGCGATGGTGCTGGGGGCGGGGCCTTGGGAGGTGATGCAGTCATGGGGGTGGAGCCTCAGGATGGGATCAGGGCCCTCATAGGAGGAGGCCAAAAGGGACATCCCCGCCCCTCTGAAACATGACGTCACAGCCAGGAGGCACCATCGTGGATCAGAAAGGGCCTCGCAGACACCGACTCTGCCTGAACCCTGATCTCGGACTCCAGCCTCCAGCCCTGTGGGAAATAAATGTCTGCTATGTGTGAGCCACACGGGCTATGGTGTTTGTCACAGCAGCCGGGATGGACTGGATAACCTCATGTCAGAAAGAAAAGTCCTTTCTTACCTAACACCAAGATGTGGAGAGAGCCAAATCTCGAAGGACAAGTGGTCCTTCGGTAAAGGCATCTCAGCTGGAAGACAACGGCACGGCTTTTTCCGTGTTCCCCTTCGGCCGTGGGAGCCTCTGCAATTTAGACCCACTGCCCAGGGCCCGACCCAGCACAGTGCACAGCCGTGATCGCGGCTCCCTCGCTGGCCTGGCGTCACTGGGCACACACTGGGCGGCTCCTGCCTGGGCCCAGCTGTCCTGGCCGCCCCTGCTCCCAGTTCTGCCCTGGAAGTTGCTCAGTCAGGGGACGTTTGGGTGTTGAGCCCCACATCCCTCCTATTTGCAGTATCCTCTCCCCTTTCTCTGTGTAGTGTCCAGAGCTCCATCCTTCGTCCGTGTTCTCCCAGGTGATGTCCCCAAGGAAGGCCAGCACAGCCAGTGACATCTGACAGGCCAGCGAGGGGACATGCTCCTCCCTTGTTCACTTCTGTGCAGGTCACCTGGGGTGCACTGTGTGGCCACAAGAACTGTGGCAGATGCCCTTGTGGAAATGAAGTGCACGTCCACGAACTCCCCACCACAAAATAAAGGAAATGGAGTTGGTTTGTCCATTAGTTGTTACTGAGCCACGTTGGCTCCTGGTGCCCACTTTGTGCACATCTAAGAAAAACTCACAAATAGCATTTCCAGCAGGTGGGCCGCCCGCGTCACCGTCTAGGATAGTCTTCCCTGTCAGTTCTGAGGAATGCTGCAATTTGGTCTCAGCAGGACCTGCATCGCTTCATCACTGAGGTCCACCAAAGGGCCAGGGTGCTGTGGCGTGCGGGCAAGAGGGACACGGACGATCTGGGGAGGGCACTAGCTGAGGTCGTCTGTGCATCGAAATTATGAGAGGCAATAGGTGGCAGCACCAGCAGCACTTGGCACTCCTGTTTCTAAACGGAGGACCAGCCACACAGCAGAAGGGTCACAGCAAGGCTCTGTGGAGACACGGTCGTCCCTGTCCTGGAAACACTCCTTTCCCTGCAGGTAGTCGCTCACCACCTGCCTGCCCATCTGTAGTTTCCCCAACACTCCCTGAACCTGGCGGGAAAAGTCCAGGAGACAAGAATCACCACTAACAACTGAAATTTTGTTGTGACCTGAACACAGATTTCCATTAAGCAAGGCTGGAAGAGGGGCGTTCCAGCTCACTCTGGAGGGGGCGTTTTAACTGAGACTCGAGACGCGAGTGTGTGAGTGGAGGAGGCCTCGGGGGCGCAGGCGAGGGCTGCTGCCTGGGACTCTGGAGCCATCCGCGGAACATGCAGCCGCTCAGCCCCCGGGCTGTGTGACTGCCGCTGGGCAGGGCTCTGCCCGTCCTGTCTCGGGCAGACCTCAGCGTCAAGGGTCCACTCACAGTACCACATGCGTCTGCACGGCAGTTTCATGGGCACTGACACATTGCACCTGTTCCCACAGAGGCGCCTCACAGGGAGTCGAGGGGCGAGCCCTGAGGATCCCCCCACACTGAGAGACTCTCCTCTGGGCAGGCCGTCTGGCTCCCAGCAAACTCCGTCTGCCCAAGGCGTGGCCTTGCCCACAGGTGGGCTCTCGTTGCTTCTGGAATCTGGGGGCTCAGCCCCACGGTTTGATGCCTTCCAACTTGTTAGAATTCCCTGGAGCTGGTCCCAGGGCTCGGAGCCCTCGTGTCCCTGCAGCAGGCCGTCCTCCGGCCGCAGTGGGGGTGGGCTGCTCCTCCCCTCCCCTGGCAGCTCAGGAGCCGCTGCTCGCCTGCCCAGCTGCCCACCACACGGCCAGAGGACATGGTGACATGGGACTGACGCGTCTGTCAGTGGAGCAGTTCAGACGTCAACTCTGTGGCTTCGTGGGGAAATTCCTGGGAAATTCCTGTGGCTTCCCACACGGTCTGGACGCCACCCTGTCCACAGTCAATGCGGAGAGCCATGGTGCCGGCAGTAAACAGGCATTTGCAGGAGACGCTGGAGAGGACAGCGTGGGTGTCCTGAGACGAGGAGGCGTGGACGCCTGGCTCCTCCCAGCCGTCGGGCCACAGGCCTCGTGGAGGGCACGGCGTCATCTGTATGACTTTCAACAGGATGGGTGGACCAGTGGACAGATAGTGGGCAGGCACTCCGGCCACAGTGCAGCTGTGCAGGCTGACCCTCAGTCTTCCATGACCCGTGTTCTGGCATGGCCGTGACCTCGTGGGGTCCCAGCTGTGTCTGGCGTCTGGACGTCAGGGCTGGGAGCTCATCCCTTTCTTTTGGGGGCCCACTGTGCACCCAGCCCTGGGGTACTAGCAGGTGCATCTCTGCCCCCAGACCAGCACAAACAAGCACAGAGGCCGGGGGCTCACAGGGATGCAGGGCGCTGATGACAGGCCTGGGGGCCCAGGCTCGCCGGGCACCAGGGGACCCTCCCCAAGGTTGGGTGGCATCAGCCCCTCAGCCCCACTGTGCCCCTGGACCCCACATGACCTAAGGATGGGCTGGGGGCCCCAGCTCATCCACGTCTGAGGAGCCACCAGGCACTTTGTGGGAAACACTGCTGGAGCGGGGAGACGGGCCCGGCCCGGGGGCCCTGTGGGATCTGGCTGCGCTGAGTGTTTCTGGGGTGAGCAGCTGAAGTTCTCATTTCCTCACCTGGAAATGGGGACGGGTGCTTCTGTGGCAGGACTTGCCGGAGAAGGGGTCCTCTGTGCTCTCCTGACGGCCGCCACTCGGTGGGGGATGCAGGGGGCTGGGGTCATCTGTGGACTTGCAGCCAATGGCGTCGGACTCCTGGGGGCGCTAAGGGCCACCCTGACCAGGCGCCCCTGGAGGGCTGTGTGGCTACTGTGGGTGCTTGGCCCGGGGGCAGAGTGTACCCCTCATTCCCTTGGCTGCAGGCACCCTTGTGTCCACCAGGGGAGGCCTGTGGCCAGCACCCCGACCTCGGGGCTGGGGAGCATGTTGGTTCCTGGGGCTGCTGTGACCACGTGCCACCAAGTGGGGGCCCAAAACAGCAGCTCTTTCTTCTCTCTTGGGCCCAGGGGCAGGAAGTCTTTATCGAGGGCTATGCTCTCTTCAAAGGCTCTGTGAAGGGTCCCCCCACGTCTTCCAGCTCCTGGGGCTCCAGGCGTCCCTGTGCTCGCAGTCCACCTCTGCCTCCGTCTTCACGTGGCCTCTCCCCATGTCTGTCTCTCAGGGCCCACCCTAAATCCAGTG